TTTGATTTGCGTTTCCTTGATGATTAGTGCTGTTGGGCACCTTTTCTTATACCTGTTAGCTATTTGAATGTCTTCTTTTGAGAAATGTCTATTCAGGTCCTTTGTCCATTTTTTAATTGAGTTACTTGTTTCTTGGCTGAGTTTTGTGAATTCCTTATATATTTTGTATATTAAACTTTTATCTGGCTTAGTTTGCAAATATATTTTTTTAATTCCTTGGCTGCTTTTTCATTTTGATGATTGTTTCCTTTGCTGTGTATAGCTTTTTAGTCTGATGTAGTCCCACTTTGTTTATTTTTGCTTTTGTTGCCTGTGCTTTTGGTGAGATAGCCAAAAAATCCTTGTCAACATCAATATGAAGAAGCTTTGCTTCTGTGTTTTCTTCTAGGAGTTTTTTGGTTTCAGATCTTATGCTCAGATCTTTTGAGTTGATTTTTATGTATGGTGTATGATAAGGGTCCAGTTTCATTTTTTTTTGCATGTGGATATCTCGTTTTCCCATCACAATTTATTGAAGAGACTATACTTTCCCATTGTGTCATCTTGATGGCCTTGTCAAAAATTAGTTGACTGTGTATGCTTGGGTTTATTTTTGGGCTTTCTATTCTATTCCATTGGTCTGTGTATCTGTTTTTATGCCAATACCATACTGTTTTGATTAATGTTGTTTTGTAATATAATTTGAAATCAGGAAGTATGATGGCTCCAACTTTGCATTTCTTTTTTAAGATTGTTTTGAAGACTCTGGGTCTTTGGCGGTTCCATACAACTTTTAGGGTTGTTATTTCTATTTCCAATTGAAAATGCCTTTGGAATTTTCATAGGGATTGCACTGAATCTGTATATTGCTTTAGGTAGTATGGACATTTTACTAATATTGATTCTTTCAATCTATGAACATGAGATATCTTTCCATTGATTTGTATCTTCTTCAGTTTCTTTCCTCTGTGTTTTATAGTTTTCAGAGTACAGATCTTTCACTTCTTTGGTTAAATTTATTCCTAAATATTTTATTCTCTTTGACGCTATTATAAATGGAATTGTTTTTGACGCTAATATAAATGGAATTGATATCTTTTCAGATAGATTCTTATTGGTGAAAAGAAATGTGACTGATTTTTGTATGTGGATTTTGTATCCTGCAGCTTTACTAAATTCATTGATTAGTTCTAACAGTTTTTAGTGGAGTGATTAAGATTTCTACATATAAGATCCTGTCACTTGAAACAGGGATAATTTTACCTCTTCTTTCCCAATCTTTATTTCTTTTTCTTGTCTATGTGCTCTTGCTAATAATTCCAGTACTGTGTTAAATAGAAATGGTGAGAGTGGGCAGTTTTGCCTTGTACTAAGTCTTGGAAGAAAAGCATTCAGGTTTTCCCCATTGACTATGATATCAGCTATGGGCTTTTCATAAATGGCCTTCATCATGTTCAGGAAATTTCCTTCTACACCTATTTTGTTGAGAGTTTTTTTTTTTTAATCATGAAAGGATGTTGAATTTTGTCAAGTGCTTTCTCTGCATTGATTGAGATGATCGTGTGCTTTTTATGTTTTATTCTGTTAATGTGGTATATCACATTGGTAGTTTTGCATATGTTTAAACCAACCTTGCATCCTAGGGATAAATCCCACTTAGTCATGGTGTATACACTTTTTGACCTGTTGTTGAATTTGGTTTGCTGGTATTTTGATGAGAATTTTTGCATCTATATTAATAGATACTGGCCTATAGATTTTTTCTTGTAGTATCTTTGTCTGGCTTTGGTATTAGGGTAATGATGGCCTCATAAAATGAGTTTGATAGTATCTTTTCTACTTCTATTTTTTTTTTTTTTGGAAGAGTTTAAGAAGGATTGGTGTTCTTTGAATGTTTGGTAGAATTCAGCTGTGAAGCCATCTGGTCCTGGGCTTTTCTTGGCATCTTGGTTTCTTTTGTTTTAAAAAAATAAACCCAGCAACAGGCAGTCACAGAAGTAGAGCAAAACAGGCAAACATGGAGAGTCCGTTATGTTTATCTTCTCCAGGTTGTTAGTTGATGGTTTTCTGGGAGCCTTCTTGATGATCAGGGTCTCTCTGTAGCATAATAGTTAACAGGTTAGGACTGTGGAGTCAGCTAGAGCTGGATTTGCTATTCAGCTCTACCACATGAGAATTATGCAAATTTGGCTCCTAAAGCCTCAGTGTTCTCATCTAAAAAATAGGTTAATAATATTAACTCATAGCTCTCACTCCTTAGTAAGCTATACATATTTTTAGACATCATTTTTTTCCCTTCCAATAAAAAGAATATTCAGTGACACTGGACCAGAGGCCATTTTTCTTGCACACTCCTGCTTTTCTTCTAGTGTACCACTCTCACTTCCCTTTTCTTCTTTTTCCCCTCTTGCTACCTTTCCATCCAAACTAGCTCACTCTCCCCCACTTTTTTTTTTTTTTTTAAGGATCTTACTCACAACCCATTGTGGGAATTGCAATGCAGGATAAAACTGTGAAAGCGCTGTCTAAAGTTTCAAAGAGACTAATTAAAACCCAGGGAATACATTTCAATAGAATTTCACTTGAGTAACTGCCAACTACCACTAGAGGTTAACTGCTAACTACTACTAGAGATTATTTGGGAAGAGAGTCCATGATCCTAAGCTATTAAGGCCATTGCGCCAGCCATCTCTTCGAACTCATTTGTCTGGACAGACTACTCTCATTATTGGGTTATTTAAAGGCATTTAGACTTTCTTCTTGAGGGACGAGAGGGTGGGTTCCCCCCTCATAAATTTTGTCTCCAAGATCTTAGACTTCTTCATCCTTCATGCAAATCACCATGAAAGTGGGTCCCATGACCCAAGGTAACTTTTTCAGAAGACTTGGGGGAGGGGGAGGGTCTTAGCCGTGAGTTCTTATTTACTGTTAGAGGAGTGACTCTTATAGTATTTAAGGGCCTCAGGCATGGCCTCTGGCTTGGGTTGGCTTGGATTCAGGGCCTGGTCAGTTGAATTTGGGGCTGAGCATTCATTACCACCATCCACTGCTCCCTTCCGGTTCTCCATCCTTTCTCCCCACCCCCTCTCCTTCCTTCTTTCCCTCTTTTCCCTTCTCCTTCTTCTTCCTCTCCTCCTTCTTCCTCCCCTTTCTTTTTCCCCTTCCCTCATCTTTCATCTCTTTTTAGGTAACTGCACTCATCTCTTTGCTCAATGGAAATTATAATGCTTACTTTTCTCTCTCTTAAATTTTTTGTTGTGGGATTAATGAGAGCAACCAAAGGAATGGCTTTGGTATTGTGAGAAGCTCTATATAAATTCAGAAATATCAGCCCGGTGCAGTGGCCCACTCCTGTAATCCCAACCTTTGGGAGGCCGAGCAGGGAGGATCGCTTGAACTCAAGAGTTCGAGACCAGCCTCAGCAACATAGTGAGGTCCAGTTAGTACAATAATTATAAAAATTAGCCAGTGTGATGGCACACGTCTGTAGCCCCAGCTACCCGGGAAGCTGAGGTGGGAGGATCTCTTGAGCCCTGGAGAGTGAGACTATTGTGAGCCTTGATTGTGCCACTGCACTCCAGCCTGGGCAACAGAGTGAGACCTTGTCTTAAAAAAAATTCAGAAGTATTATTTGCTAACTGTTTCTGCATTTTCTTCGTTCCCACATGCCCATACTCCCTTACGATGTATAGTATGCCAAGTATGCCCTTTTCTAGTCAATAAACAGCGTTTATATTTACAAATAAGAAACTACTATTATGAGGGTCACCCTTTGTGGAGAGTTTGCTGAATCCCTGCTTTCATTTAACTATGAATTTTGATCTCTGTGGAAGACACAGAAGTCAAAGATGACAAGAGCTACCTGGTGCTGCAAGGCTGTGAGGCTTTTAGCAGATAACAGTCCTCCTCCTGTTTAGGAAACCTGGCAGTTCCCTCTGCCCATTCCCATTTCAGCGGTGCTACCAATTTATGCACCATTTACAGAAGAGGCCAGAAACAAAACTGCAAGGCTGTTTTGACCCAAGTAAAATGATATTGCCACTCTCTGGGAGGGGGTAGGGACTCCAAGTGAATGTTCTGGGATGATCAGGAGTAATATCTTGTCACAGCAACCATTAAAGAAACACTTGCCCATGGATATAGTATGCTGCTTGCATTTGCCTTTTGAGCATCCCTTCCTTCCCTCAGTTTCATTCACCGTCCTGTGATGGTGCAGTGACAGTGTGTCTGTCTGTCTTTCTCTCTTCCACTCTCATTTTCAAATTTCACCTGTTTTAATAAATATGTGTAAGTCACTATTTTTATCTACTAACTACCAAGCTTATATTGCATCCCCTGTTTTGGTTTCTTGTGCAACCAGTTCTACTGGGACTTGCGGAAGTTCAAGTAAAAGCACAAACTCATTAATCTCGTGTTGGCATCTGCTTAAAATGGTAGGGTGTGCTGGAACCTTTGACCAAGTTTCACATCATTATGAAGGTGTCTGTTTGTGGAGATCTCCTTTTATTTTGTTTCTTATTATAGTATGTTCTTAAATCTAGGGCCGCAAGCAGGTGGTGAATGGGAATGTTGCTATTGATTCTGCTCTTCTCCAAGTATTATTATGGCTGGGGAGTTAGGTATGAACTCCTGCACACTGACATGCTTACTTTAACTTAAGAATTCTAGATGATTCAACACACAGGCTCTTCTCTGTGTTTGTTTTAACTGCGGAATGGTCAAAATTGCTACTTTGTAAATAGGTGTAAGAGAACGAGGGAAGGGTCCATAACTATTGGTACCACTAGTGCCTTAATGATGTGGGCAGATCAACCCACCCCACCCCAGGAGTGTGGGACTCATCCCTGTTGACAGGGCTCAATGGCTGTCGGTCTAGAGCTAGTGTTTCTGGGTGATGTGAAATAGACACTTCTCCAATCCAAGGAAGAAATAACATGGACATTTAAACCCTGTCATCTGATTAATTGGAGAGTTTAGCAAGAAACTGGATAAAAGTAAATAACCTTGTACTTCCTCAACAGAGAGATGACCATCCAACTTCAAAGAAAAAACGCCAGGCAGGGGAGAAGATCATGTATACTTTGGTTTCAGTCCCACATGGCAATGACATTGCATCCCTTTTTGAACTAGATGCCACAACTCTTCAGAGAGCTGACTGCCTGGTTCCAAGGTAAAAAAAATATTATGGTTAAAAGATGTTTCTTTGAATAATTATACCAGTAGGTAAGGAATGAAAATAATAATATTAATATATTTTTGTGATATCATGGGAGCAAACGTAAGTGAAGAAAAAATGTGTAAAACATTGTGCCTCTTCTGTGAGGAGGTTAACATAATTTGTTTTATTCTTATAAATAATTAAAATGTGCAGGAACAAAGAAATTCTGAAAAATTTATAAGAATCATTTATTCTTATTACTTACCTGGCCTTTGGTTACTAAAATGAAAAATAATATAAAAACATTTCTATTTATATATTTATCATTTATTTTTATTATGTCAGATTTCCCATTTCATTCATCCGTTTGTTCATTTATGTAGTCATTCAGTCAACAAATATCTATTGAACATCCATTACATTCCAGGCATTGCCCTTGGCATTGGGAGGACAACAGTGAACAAATTGGTTATACTCTCACATTCAAATGGGGGAGACAGGCAGTAAACAAAACAATAGACATAAAATATTAATAAAAGGTCAGGTAATAAAAGTGCTTTGAAGAAAAAATGGAGGGTGTGGAGAGTTCTCTTAGGTAGGAGAGTTCAACTGTGGCCTCTCTGAGTTAGTATGTTTGAAGAATGATCTTAATGAATTGAGGAATCAAGTCCTCTCTTCCTGAGAGGAATACTTCAAGCAGCAGGAACACGAAATGAAAAATGTTGAAATTTACTGAGTGTTTTTAAGGACGAGTGAGAAGGCCAGAGTAATTAGATAAAAGTGAGTGAGGGGGTGTGGGGGGGGAAATAAGATTGCCAGAACTTAAGGTAAGACAATATCTTACATTCTTTTGCTTGAATTTGACCATTTTATTTTACTTTTCATTTATCTTTTTTGAGACAGGATCTCACTCTGTGGCCCAGGGTGTAGTGCAGAGGCATAATCATGGCTCACTGCATCCTCTACCTCTGGTACTCAGGTGATCCTCCCACCTCAGCCTCCTGAGTAGCTGGGACTATAGGCATGCACAACCATGCCCTGCTAACTTTTGTATATTTTTGTAGAGATGAGTCTTTGCCATATTGCCTAGGCTGGTCTTGAACTCCTGGGCTTGAGGGATCCACCCACCTCAGCTTCTCAAAGTGCCGAAATTACAGGCATGAGCCACCATGCCCAGGCTAAATTTGACTATTTTAGTTAAGCTTTTCTGTCTATAACTGTCCATCTTTCAACCATAAGGCTGTGATGCAGTCTCTAGATGCATCGAGGAGTCTTGCCCATATTATTAGGGTTAGTGGGATGGCTCTAAATGGGCCTTGATGGAGCGGTATTGTGCTTGGCCTTGGCAGATGGCAGTGGTGAAGCCGAAGGCACCTGTGCAAAAAGGCAGACATTGTGTGGGTTTCCTCCAGGGAGGGTAAAAAGTTACTATAATAACACTATTGAGAAACATTGCTGGTAGAGCTTCCCAGGGTGTTTTGTGGCTATTCTTGTTCATGAGAAATGTTGCTGAATTTCATACCTTATATGAGTCCATCTCTCACTCTTTTTTGTTCCATCAATATAAGCCACTAAAGAGATCCTCTCTGGTTTTACCTGACCCAGGTCTCTGGCTTTTTCCTCCCAGGACTGGGACCTTAATCAATCCTTACTATGACTTGACTTATTTTAGATTTAAGTCAGCAAAAAGGGAGCCCTTCTTTAACTCTAACCAAGAGAGTTTGCTTAAGGAAATGATAAAAGGGTCTTACTAGAAAGTGTATAGAACCACAATGATGGCCACCAAGCCTCCCTTTATATGGAATCATTAATCTATTACTTTTCAGAACTGTGGAAGCCCTATTCAGTATAGTGCAGAATTTTGTATTAACATCAATTCATCTGTCATTAATTGTATTAAAGCCAACATTAATTAATGCTTAATAATAACTACTATTATAATATAACTCTTGAGCACTTTTTATGTACTAAGTCCTGTGTCAGGTTCTTAATAAATATTATCTTATTGAATACTGGCAGTAACCCTTACAGATCAGGAACTAGAGACTGAGTTAGAACAGTGGTTCTCAAGTTGACTGTAAATTAGACTCACCTGGGTAATGTTGACACCTCGCCATGCCCTGGCCACGCTGAGACCATGAAATCAGAGTCTCACAGGTGGGGTGCAGGCTTTACTCTTTTTAAAGCATTTATTACCTAAGTGATTCCACTATGGAGTCCAGTGTTTCTCAAACTTTATAGTCCAGTGCTGCTTAAACTAAATCACTGTACTAAATCACTTGGGGACCTGATGACAACTGAGTACAAATTACGTCTCTTGTGTAATTCAATGAGGAAGATGCTAAGTGATAAAACAGAGGCATTTCAGAATTTCTAGATATTTGAACAAAGATTGGAGGACTGCTATTTTAGATTTGTGAAGCTCAGTTTGTATTTTATCTACTTCTGTAAAGGAGCAGAACCAGGTTGTTGAATGAATCTCTTTGCCTGAGGCCCTTGGCATTTTATTTGGTTTTCTTTTCTTGGCCCTAATGCTTTTTACCTTATGTTGTAAGACATATTTATGCCTTATCTTTATACTGATCTGTAAGCAACTTGAAGGCAGAGTACTTATTGTGCTTTTCTTTTAATAGGCACTATACACATATTTGTTAAAGAAATAACAAAAGATTATAAAAGATTTACTAAAAATGGTAATACTTGAGTAGGATGAAGTTCTAGGTGTCTTTTCTTAGGCACTCTGTCACAGTTCATATCTAGTCAATTTTTAAAGTATATGTTACATGGAATTAGCAAATACTGAACCATTGTTCCTAGGGGAAATACAGAGTTAGATTCCTGTGAGCTTCTGGTCACATTTTTGTTGACCAATACATAGCCTTGTTCTATGTGTGCTTCTGTTTAAATACACCTTATTCAATATATGTTGCTGATTCATTAACATTGAATTTGTGGTCAGTAGCACTATAACTCATGCATGAACGAAGCTCATATAGCACAAGTATTTTCTTTGTAAGGCATATCACAGCCTTCTTGTGCTTGGGAACACTAGACGTGCGTAACTTTAGGAACTTCTACACCTCATGTGGGGGCCATCTTAAACATCAAAATCACCAAAAAAAAGCATAGAAGTGTGAAAAACATGGCACTAAATAGAGCACAAAAAGGACACTTGTTTATAGCATGAGAACTGAGACAAGACGCAGAGCATCACCTTGTTCTACTTCAGCTTGGAAATGTGCCTACTGGGCCACTTAAATTTTTGTCACTCTATGTATGTCCTGAAATGACCACAAAAGCTCCTTGAATACTGATTGGGGGGTTACAAATAAATTTTAGTGAGCAGGAGAATTCACAAGTACAGAAGCCACAAATAATGAGGATTTATTGTACATTAATACTTTTACATACAGATAATTAAACTACACAAACTACACTACAGTCTGCCAGCAATGTTAGCTGAGTTATTTGTTATTTGATCAATGTTCTTAGTTTAGCATGCATCAGAACTGCCTGGAGAACCTATTAAACTACTCATTGTTGGGCTACACCCCCAAAGTTTCTGATTCAGTCGATGGGGATGAAGTTTCAGAATTTGTATTAATAACAAGCTCCCGGGCGATGCTGATGCCACTGGTCTAGGGACCACACTTTGAGAACTACTGGCTTAGGCAATAATGCTGCATGCTTTGAAATAGTCTATAATTCAGAATTTCCCCTTAAAGCAGAGGAATCTTGAGTCAATTACTAGTTAATATATATTTATGTTCATATCATATATGAAGCTGTTAAAGATGTCAATATGTAAATGTGCTAATTTTTTATAATTTGTTTTTTTATATTGTTTTGCTTTTAGGAACTCATATGTTCGGTTAAGGCATTTATGCACCAACACATGGGTAACCAGTACTAGTATCCCCATAGACACAGATGAAGAGAGGCCTGTTATGTTAAAGGTAAATGTCACTGAATATGGTTTAATTTTTAGCCAAATGCCATGCGAATAGGATTAGGATAGGAATGCTGTGTGACATGTTCCTTATACTCCATCTTCACCAATATTAGATATCATTGCAATTAATTACATCAAGCATGCATGTCTGCCAGTTGCTCAGGTAGCTGATCTAAATGGGTTGGAGGCAGCAAAGCTGTGATTCAGGAGGATGCTACGGAGACATCAAAAAGAACGGTAGCAGCATGTGGATGGAGAAGTAGAATCCAGGAGTGCCTTTTCTCTACTGTCAAAACTGGAGCAGAGGGCAAGTGTGAAAGGGAGAGGTTTCCAGTGGGGCTTTGGAACAGGGCAGGAAGTGGGCGCAGGAAATCTCTGTGTCCCCACAGCCTTTCGTAGTGGACAAAGCATGTGGGAGTTACTGTGTTTGGATGATCTATACTTGTCTTATATTTCTTACATAGTACTAGATGTGTTAGTCCTCAACGAATATTGTATAGTTGTTTATAAAACTAATCTTAATGGAAAAACACATTTCAGATTGGAACCTGCCAAACCAAAGAAGATAAAGAAGCGTTCGCCATCGTGTCTGTCCCACTGTCTGAAGTTCGAGACTTAGACTTTGCCAATGATGCCAATAAAGTACTAGCGACCACAGTTAAAAAGCTAGAAAATGGCACAATAACTCAGAATGAAAGGAGGTGAGTAACTTTTTAAATGGGTCTTAAATAATCAAGAGTCAGTTGTCAGTTGTTATAGTAAGCCTGATGTGAATGAATGACTCTAAGGGAATATTTATAACATTCTCAATAGCACACCTGCTTCTGAATGAGGTGGGAACTTACTCCTCTTGATCATAGCAAGTGAATGAAATTTGTCAAATTTAAATCTGGTGAAATATTTACTTGTCCTGTTTTAGCTTTGCTTGAAAACAGTTGTTTTAAGTTATTTTCTGGTCATTCTTTTTTAAATCCTTTGTGGGAGATTTGCAATACCTTTTGCTGTGCATGATTTGATATTTGGATTTAGAGTTCTAAAGGACCTAAAGAAAGTTTTGTGTTTCTCTGATGTTATTTATTCAAGATGCATTTCTCAGCTCTGGTACCAGAAAACAAACAGATATGTAAAACCAGAAAAATTATCTGCAGGCTGTAGCTCTCTGCCCTCATAGCTTGTTCAGAGAAACTGGATCCTTGATTCTTAAGCTCTGGTTTTGGAAATAAGTAAGAAAGAGAATGATATTGACAGCTAGCGATTATTGCATGCCTGCTTTGTGTCAGTTACTAGGTTGGACACTGTAAATATATTTTATCTAATCCTTCAAATAGCCTTGAAATAGGTATTCTCGTTTTACATAAAGGAAAACTGAGGAGGGTAAGCAAACAAGGTAAGGCTGCATAGTTAATACTAAGGGGGGATTCAGTCCTGTATGGTTTAAAGTCCATATGCTCTCCAGTGTGCCCAAGCACAAGCATCCTCTGTATTTCCTCTCTTCATGATCTGCTACATGCCTGTTAATTTAAACAAGAAAAAGCTATTTGCCAATTTCCCAGGCATTCAGACGTTGGAACTCTCATACACAGCTGCTAAGATGATAATTGATATATGCACCTTGGAAAATAGTTTGGCAGTAACTAGCAAAATTAAAGAAGCAAACACCCCGTGACTCACCAATTCCACTCCTAGGCTGAACATTCTTGAACATCTGTCCAAAAGACTCTCCTCCACATGTGTACCAGGACACATGTTCAAGAATGTTCAGCTTTGTTTGAAATAACCCCAAATGGAAAACCATCCAAATGTCCAACACCAGTTGAATAGAGGATGAAAACTGTGTTATTTTCAAACAATGGGATACAGTTTTGCGATGAAAATAAATGAACTACATCTATGTGCAATGGCGTGGCTAAATTTAACAAACGGATTCGGTGAAAACTAGACACAACAAATACATTCACTGTAATGCTACATGTAACATTCAAAAACAAGCAAAAACAAACTCCACTCCATTTCTTTGGGGGCCTTTAAGCAATTAGAAGAACCATAAAGAAATGCAAGGAAGTCATTGTGACAAAAATCAGGATGGTGTTTCTTCTTAGAGGGGAGGGAGGAATTATGCTCCCTGAAGGTTTGAAAGGTGCCTGCAGGGTTCCATTTCCTGCTGTTGGTGGTGGCTTCATGGGATTCACTTATCAGTAGTCCTTAGCTATATGTTTTAGAACTTTTTAGATACACATCTTACAATACAGAAGAACAAAAAATCCAAGTTTGCTTCCCTCCATCCCTGTCAATGAGAAAAATATCCTAAATATGCAAACAAATGGAATAGCTGTTTCTCAGCTTCCTCTCTGTTCTTACCTCTGTTTTTTCCCCTGCCAAACTTACATTTCAAAACAACTATTGTATATTCAGTCACACCTCCAACCCTGTTAGGGGAAATGAATAAAGGCCGGAAGCAGAAACAAGTGGCCACTTTTATGGGCTATAGACAATTAAATATCAGAGCTACATTATGGCAGGAAACGGATTCTAATGTGCAGATAGGAATTTTTATTTGTCTGTTATTGATCTCACTTTTCCTTTCGTGCATCTATTTCCTTGTTTCTAACACTCTTACATATGCACAGCAATTTTCTTGGCTTCACTTAAAAAGTCTCCCTTCCTAAGCATTAAGGTATTCCTTGAAGAAAAGGACAGATAAAAATTCAGATTATGGGCTCTCCACCATCACTGGCTGGAATCCTGTGCAAGTCACTCTTCTTCAGTCATGGCTGGAGATTATCTTAACCTCTCAAGATGATTCTAAGGAAGGTGGTGGACTAGGACTAACTAGAGAGCATGCATTTTTATTTCCTTTGCTTCTTTCTTTCCCTACTGTTTTGGAGTGAAAAACATCGTATTAATAGCAAAGAGAAGGCTTTGCCTAAGAAATATGAAGGTACAATTATTGATCTTAATTTAGTAATTTTAGAAAAGCCACCTCCTATCAAAATTCATTCAAAGCTGCCTGTCAGTAAGGTAGAGCTTGTTGGCAGAGTTGAATGCATTTGTATTATTTTCTCAGGTTTGGAATTGAATATAAAATTATTTCTGAAAATAACTGACAACTCTGACTTTTTTCCCCCTATGGAAAATGAAGCAATTATTATCTGTGTCAAAAAGCCTGTGTTGTTGGAATTTTTTTTTTTTTCTCTCTCTCTCTCTCTCTGTCTTTCCTCTTTACTTATCCCAGAAATGAATATGAGCTCTGGAAGTACAGCTCCTGTGTTATGCTTCAAGATCCTCAACCTTAAATATTTTCAGTGGAATTTTCTAATCTTATTCTACATGATCACACCCACAAAATAGAGAGGACTGGGAACATGTCATCAGAGAGAGAGGAGGGAAGATGGAGGGGTGTTAACTGCCATCCAGAACTTGAGGAAGTGACACAGGCAGTCCTTGACCAGCATTTCTGCACTGTGTTTACCTCTGAGGGTGCACAAAATACTGGGGTTTCTCTCAAGCAGTGGGAGTTCAGAGATGGGATTATTTCAGTATTACTAAACTCCTGGTACATGCCGGGCACTTGGCCACGCAGCATGGGTATATGTGGTGCTAATGTGGTGGTGAAGGCCACAGACTATCTCATGTCTCTGTGAAACTTACCCTCTTGAGGGATGGTTCTCATTCCCCATGATAGGAGCTCAGGATCTAGAACAGGGGTCATCCACCATGTGATCACCAGATCAGATGTCGTTCTGATGTTGCTTCTCAGAGCAACGTCATTTTCTCTTAAATTTTATTTGCCAGGTATGACTATCCTGACACCAGCAATCTTTAGTTTAACATTTGCCTGATGTCTGTTTTTCCATATCTTTTTATTTCAGGTTTCCTGGTCATTTTGTTTTATTGAGCAGCAGAAGGTTGATTGTAACAGTCTAATCTGATAGTCTATTTTATTTATTTTTTTGAGGCAGGGTCTTGCTCTGTTGCCAAGGCTGGAGTGCAGTGGTGCAATCATGGCTTACTGCAGCCTCGACCTCCTGGGTTCAGGTGATCCTCTTGCCTCAGACTCCCAAGTAGCTGGGAACACAGGCACGTGCCACCACACCCAGCTAATTTTTTGGATTTTTCTAGAGACAGGGTTCGCCATGTTGCCCAGGCTAATCTCAAACTCCTGAGCTTAAGCAATCTGTCTTTCTTGGCCTCCCAAAGTGCTGGGATTACAGGCGTGAACCACCGTGCCTGACTGATAGTCTGTTTACATTTGCAAATTTAATGACTTTGTATTTGACAAATTTATTTGAATACATTTTTATTTTTGTTTTTCTTTCTTTAGTGTAGCTTGTTTTCATTTCCTTTACTTCCTTCTTGCTTTCTGCTAGATTAATAGTTTGTATTCCCCTCCCACCATTTTACTGTTTTCTCTACTGATTTAGAAGCTTTCGGTCATATTTTCATTCATTAGCAATTACGCTTGAATTCTTATCATACATTTTGACTGTATGTTCTTCTTGATAAACTTGAAGTTACTAATTTTTTTCTCTTTTTTTTAAAAGAAAAGTGTTGCAGCATGCTTTGGTTTTGCCCTGACTTTCTCCCTCCCATCTTTCTTGTAGTAGTTGTCTAGAACCATAGTTCTGTGTTTATTCTCTTCATTTGTAAAATTTTATTTTAATTTGATAAACACAAAAGAATAAATGTATCAACATAAATCATGATGCACCACCTTTTGTTTCTACCGATAAATTTTATTCCTTTCTTTTAAAGACAATGAAACATCTTTTTTTTAAACAAAATATTTATTTTATTTTTTAATCTTATTTCAGTAGTTTTTGGGGAGAGAAATTTAGTTTCTAAATTTTTTTTAGTGATTAATTTTATTTTTAAAATAATTTTACCACTTCTTCTGCCCCTTTCTTTATGTTTTCCTCCTGTCTTTATTACTTGTATCTCGCTTATTCGTTCTCTTTTCATCTTGCTGAAATTTATTCTTTAGTCCATTCAGTGGAGAGGCCTATGGGTTATAATCTTTTTAGTTTTTACATATATGAAAATATCTTTATTTTGCCTGTACTTTTTTTTTTTTTTTTTTAAGACAGAGTCTCACTCTGTCGCCCAGGCTGGAGTGCAGTGGTGTGATCTTGGCTCACTGCAAGCTCCGCCTCCCAGGCTCAGAGATTCTTCTGCCTCAGCCTCTTGAGTAGCTGGGATTATAGGCACCCACCACCACACCCGGCTAATTTTGTATTTTTAGTAGATATGGGGTTTCACCATGTTAGCCAGGATGGTCTCGAACTCCTGACCTCAGGTAATCTGCCCGCTTTGGCCTGCCAAAGTGCTGGGATTACAGACATGAGCCACCGCACCCAGCCGGAATTTACTCTCTTAGCACATTTCTTTTTTATTTTTTTGAGATGGAGTCTTGCTCTGTCTCCCAGGCTGGAGTGCAGTGGCATGATCTTGGCTCACTGCAACCTCTGCCTCCTGGGTTCAAGTGATTCTCCTGCCTCAGCCTCCTGAGTTGCTGGGATTACAGGTGTGAGCCACTGTGCCCTTGCTTTACTCTTAAGTGATACTTTATATATGAGATGTCAGATTGATTATTACTTTCTATCAGTATTTTAAAGCTATAATTTAATTACTTTCTAGCATATCTTGTTGCTGTTAAGAAATCTGCTGTCGATAGACTTGTTATTCTTTATTGGTAATTTTTCTTGTCTTGGTAATTTTATGTATTATTTTTCTTTGCTTTTGATGTCTTAAGATTTCACCATGATGTGTTTACAAAGGAGTTTTATTTTGTTTTTTCTCATTTGACATTTAAGGTATACTTTTAATCTGAATACTTATTTCTTCCTTCAATTCTTGGAATTTTTCAGCCATTTTCCTGCAAATATTGCTTCTTTGTCTTTTTCTTCCTTTCTGTCTTTTGGAACTTTTATGAGATATATGTTGGATCCTCTTAATTCATCATTTTTGTCTCTTAACTTCCCTTTTATTATTTGCCTTTTAATATTTCTCTGTGCTATTATCTGGATCGATTTTTGATACTGCCTGAGTAGCTGGGACAACAGGAGCATGCCACCTCACCCAACTAATTTTTTAATTGTTTCGTGCAAACAGGGTTTCACTCTGTTGCCCTGGCTGATTTTGAACTCGGGCTCAAGCAATCCTCCTGCCTCCACCTCCCAAAATGCCAGGATTACAGGCATGAGTCGCTGTGCTCAGCATATAATTATTATCTCTCAGATTTTTTTTTTGTATATCCACCTATTTTTCATTTATATTGGCCCTTTTAAAATATGTTGTCTTTTTAATATATTGCTTTCTTTATCTCTTTGAAGACTGAATACACACTCATTTAAAACTTATTTTGAAACTGTTTTGTTACTCGGATTTTGTCGGTGGTGGAGTAGCCTCCCAATGCTTTAGTATGGAGGCTGTCTTCTTCAATGTCAGCTTTCCTTATGTGCTTTGGACTTTTACTATGTGTGATTTTCTTAGGTGGGAGATTTCTGTTTTTCCTTTATCTACATTCACTTGTCTTCTTTGTCAGTTTTATGCTGGCTTCTACCTGGTTTCCTCAACTAGACCAGAGCCAGATCTGATATCGAGAGCTGAGAGTCCATGTTCTCTGGTAATACGATACTTTAATCATGGAGATAGCTGGTGGCTGGGTCCAGCCCTATCCATGTGCATCCATTGTTTCCTCCTATCACTGCACAGCCAAAGCCTGAATAAGGGCCACTGAACTTTAAGTTTTCTTTAAGAGGTTAGAGAAGCCATATGTTCGTCTCTGCTGCATATGTTTAGTTTATTTCCCTACCATGTGTTTTTGGTCCCTCTTACCTTGCAAGAGTTGAACATCATCCCTGTTCCTCACTGTTTTTCTTATTTTGTTCATTTTCCATAAAGCTTAAAAAGCAAACTAGTAAGATTGCGTGAGTTAGTAGGAGCTCACCACTGCCCAGTATAGAATCAGAGTTTGAGCTAAATTGAAAACAAACCAGCTCTTTGTTTTGCCACAAAAGGGATGCTTGAGGCGCAAGGTCAAAAAAAAGGCTTCAACAGTTTCAGAGGTCAAAAGAGAAGGTTGCTCTTCCTGGCTTCCATGGCCTTGTCATGAAGAGGTGGACTTTATATGTAGGGTTGACGTATCATGATATGCAATCTAGACTGTTAATATTCGTCATGATCATTCCATTAACCATCTTCAGTTTTCAGGGCATTTGAATGACTTTGAAACAGAGCAATCTGTAGTTGCTCACAAAATTTTACTTTCTTAGATATCTAAATATTTGATTACAGTTATTGAAACAGTAAGAGAAAAGGAATCTTAATAATTTAAAAAAGAAAATACAAATATTTATGGCCAAATTGGACTTGCATTGGGCATATAGAAACTGAAGTTCAACTTTTTTCTTTGTGCTGAAGTAACCTCAGCTCCAAATTTGTTTTGTTTTGTTTTAAGAGCAACAGAATGATTTGGAGGACATTAAATCACAATTTCAAAAGAAGTTCACACCACATTTGGATGCACATGAAACGCGTTTTACGTTTCTGTGGCTGCCTTCAGAGATTCAACGTAACTATGTCTGTGAATTATGTCAGACACAATTTTCCAAAAGAAACAGACTGGGTTAAAATTTAAAATAGGCATACCAAGAAAACATAGAATCCCAGGAATTTTGGAGGGAAGTTTATGATCCCTGGAAGTATACTGAAATTTCTCTGGGTGACTAAATTATGGATTCTAGGTGTGTCCACTTGGCTTCACGAAGCGCATTCTCTTTCAAGACATAAATCGGGAGATAAGATCAAGATGTTTTCCTACCAAAGGTGTTGAAAGAGAAGAAAAGAGATGTTTTCCAACTGAATACATTCTATACTTTCCTGGAATTGTTGAAGCTCTTAAAATGTAGTGTTCTTATGAATGTGTTCATGATTAGCATCATTGTATTCACATGCTAGCAACAGCAAATAAAGATGCTAACGCTATATGGATAAAGCTAATTTAACAATTTATTGGTCAGCTTTTGTCTTATTCCAAAAAAATTATGTGTTTATTGAATAATTAAGTTGTACTTTACCACTAATACAATTTAAAAAATGCCTTGACCCTTCCAATACAGATTCCTCCTCTGTTTACCCATTTTTGCAATAGCTTGAACCCCTGCCCCCTCCCTCAATTGACTAACACAAATGGAAAATGACAAAGAGCAGACAGAGGAAGGAGGAGGAAAAAAGTGAAGAGAGGAAGGGCTTTCAAGACACTTCCTGTACTAAATGCCACTGAAGTTCAAGTAATAGTTGTAATAATAACCAAAATATAGATTTAAAAGTGAACATTGGTGTATGGTTTTAGAATTTCGTGATTTTGATAGGTCATTTAATACTTCCAGTATTTTGAGTGTCAGATTGCTTGCTCTGTCTCTATTCGCAGGTTATTTAAGTTTTTCCTATTCTGTACATTGGGTAAGTTGAAATGTGGGGAGTAGCAGGAAATGTCGTTTGAGTTAACAGTAAAAAAATAAAGAAAAAGAATTGAAATTTAGGAATTTAGTATAGCTGTTTTCCCTTAAGCAGAAATATGCTGCTTTGCTAGTCAGTTGTGGAAAGTCATCTGGTGGTGTCATCCTACCTACTCGTGTGTAGTCGCGACTCACATGGCTTTATTTGATAATAGTCTGCAAACACTTGAGAACTGGAGGCACAAGTAGAGGTTGGAGATGCTGGAGAAGGAATTTTCTTTGTAAAGGTTTAGGTAAACAGTAACTGTCTTAGAGACTATTTTGTCAATTAAATACCTTTTTTGTTATAAAATACCTTGTTTTCAAGTGTTTCAGTTCTTATTACTTAATAAAAAGAAATTTCCATGGATTTGAGTTCCACTCCTGAAGAAAAAGTAAAAAAATCTATCTATCTGCCTATCTATACCTACCTACCTACCTATCATATATCTATACATTTTCCAAAATTAAGCACACCGTAAAGTAAAATTTCCTTTTCATTTTGTAATAGGTTTGTAACCAAATTATTGGAAGACCTCATCTTCTTTGTTGCTGATGTGCCTAATAATGGACAAGAAGTTCTGGATGTGGTTATCACTAAGCCAAACCGAGAGCGTCAAAAATTGATGAGGGAACAAAACATACTGGCGCAGGTGAATTTTTTCATGTACTAAATTTGTATATTTTATTTTCTGAATTACAGTATCAGGAAAGTACTTGTATTAGTTATCTATTACTATGAAGCAAATGATGCCAAAACTTAGTGGCTGAAAACAAGATATTTCCTATCTCACAGTTTCTGTGGACTAGCGATCTAGGCGTGGCTTACATGGGCCGATCTCGCTCAGGGTCTCTCACCAGGCTACAGTCAAGGTGTTTGCTGGGGCTGCAGGCATCTCAAGGTTCAACTGAGAGAGGACTCGCCTTCCAGTCCTCTCACATGGGCGTCTCTCAGGAGTGCCTCAAGACAAGGCAGCTTGCTTTCCTTAGAACTGAGGGATCCAAGAGAAAACTAGAGGGGACGCTCACGTGGAAGCTACCGTCTTTGTATAACCTAATCTTAGAAGTAACATCAGTTCTACTGTGTTCTGTTAGTTAGAAATGAGTTAATAAATCTAACCCATAGTTAAGGAGAGAGGATTCTATGAGGCTGTGAATATCAGGAGGCAGGAGTATCAGAGACCATTGTAGAGAGAGCCTACCATGGACCTCCAAAAACCCTGTATAGTCAGACTATCTCCAGAAAATATGCTGGAAAAATTCCTAGGTAGAATTTCCAGGTGAACTTGGAAAGTATGATCTCCATCTGCTTCCTACTTCTTTCCTTCTCTTCCCTAGGAAAGTAGGGCAGTCTGTTCATCAGCTGACAAGTGCTCTGTACAATATTCTAGGTTTTTTTCCCTGAAAGTACAGAACTGGTCATATATTACATCTTCTTGAAATTGTTTATAACACATCAAATTGATTCACTTCCTAATGATATGCACATATGGACATGGCTATATTTATGTATTATTTTTATTCTATTAATTGCTATTTAAATTAATGAGTTTCTTCATTAATGAAGTACAGACTCAAGGAAGATACTTAAAACATAAAAATCATGCTCTTGATACACATATTCTTATTGATTTGGGAAAGGCAAATAGTAGACATAATATTAGTTATTATATGTAGCTGATTGTCTGAAAATACAAAATCAACATTTTTCTCAAATAAAATAAAGGTTGCAAATCTAATAGGACTTTTTTCGAGTAATTATTCTATAAAAACATTTGATTTCAAATAATTTTAGGACCTTGGATGATTTATTAATAATATCTGAACCAACATATGTCAAATATTTTATTTTTGTATGATAAATATAAAATTAAAGGCTCAGTGAATACAAAGTTATTAAAGAAACTTTACTTCATATCATATTTCATGAATTCCAAAGAATAATTCCTTTCTATTTTGCTTTCATGTATTAATGCTCATGCCCTTGACTCTGCTCTTTCATAGACAATTTCCTCATTCTAGCAGCTCATCTCCAGGTGATCCCTCCTGCTGTCTTGCTGCCGAAAAGAGTTATATTCCTCAGTGCTTTTTAAATGCTTCCTAACTGCTAACCCTCTTACAAGAATCTGGCTTCCTGGGTGCCACCAGCTGCCCATGTGGCTCCTAATTTGTCACATTTGAATGCTGATACGTTCATCGATTTGGCCACATCTTTGTGTACAAACAACAATAAATTAACTCTTTTATAAAGTAGTTTACAAGCAATGTATGGAAGTCATTTTCTGATGTCAGTTTTAATGAAAAGTAAATGTTTTCTTTATATTATTTTGATTTTGAAAGGTTCTAGAAAATAATAGAAGAAACTATAGAGCCCCTAGAAATCAAGCTACATTTTAGTTCATCTGAATATGTTCATGTAACTTGGTGAAATTAAACATCTTCATATTTCTTATTTTATAAAATATGAGTTCTAAACAAAATGAAGCATTTTATTTAAAGAATGTTTTTGTCACTCAATGTAGGGGACCCTTTTAGCAGTGCTTTTCTGATCCTTGATATGTTGGTCCTGTAAAGTAAATCCTCTTTGTTTTTCCCCTTTACACTAACAATACTCGAATTTATGTAAGTGTTTTTTGAATCAGTGTTCTTATTTGTTTAAAAAAAAACGTTGCAAAACGTTTTATTCATCAGAATAGGTGGCTGTTTTTATGCCTGACAGGTATTTGGAATTCTTAAAGCACCCTTTAAAGAGAAAGCGGGAGAAGGCTCAATGCTACGACTTGAAGATCTGGGGGATCAAAGATATGCACCCTACAAGTACATGCTGCGGCTCTGTTACCGTGTCCTGAGACACTCTCAGCAGGATTACCGGAAAAATCAGGTCGGAGAGTAGCCCCCATTTTAAACTGTTTCATTTTTAAAAGTATGGGCGAGGTTCTTTGGTTATAATTCTACAGCATAGAAAATATGAATGGGAAATTTGACTTAGAAATTTTATGTTGGGCAATACATAAAAATGATTTGTAAATATTTTTGAATTGTATTGACCATGGCTTTATTCTTCCATATGAAATTAGAATCACTGGGGGAGGATGTCCTGAGTACTAATATGTGCCTGTTATTGGCTCCTGGTGGCCAGGACATCCTGGATCTATTATGTAAGGCGGAATGGAACATTTTTGGCTTGAGGAACATGTGAGGTGCAGCATCCCTGTGTATGGACCAAAGAGGTTATAATTTAGTGGAAAAGATATGATGGGAGACAAAGAAAAGACACAGAGGAAATACAGAGTTATGGGAATTCACAAGAGAGAGAGCCCAGTGGTGGCTTTGGGAACCAAGGAAGGATTCTTGGAGAAGGAAGCCTTTGGGTAGGATGAGAATCATTTTCGTAAATTGTACGGGAAGAGGTATTTGTGAAGAGAGATCTATGAAGTGAGAATGATAGATGCTAGAAAGGGCATGTTTGCCCTAAGATATTTGCAGCTGCTGAGGTCAGGGAACCCAGGTGGATCTAGGGGTACAGCTAACAGTTACCAGTTGCAAGTGAAATTTCTCTTAAGTCTCATTTTTATCTTAAAAATACAAGCCAGGTGTTGTGGCTCAAGCCTGTAATCCCAACACTTGAGGAGGCCACGGTTGGGGGATTACTCGAGGCCAGGAGTTCTAGACCAGCCTAGGCAATATAGGGAGGTCCCCATCTCTACAAAAATGAAAAATAACTGGGTATGGTGGTGTGTGCCTGTAGTCCCAGCTACTAAAGAGGCTAAGGCTGGAGGATAGCTTCAGCCTCGGAGTTTGAGGCTATAGTGAGTTACGATCACACTAGTACACTCCAGCCTGAGTAACAGACCCTGCCTCATACAAAACAAAGCAATCACAAGCTTAGTCTTTCACAATATGTTCAATAATGTAAATGTCTAACATAAAATTGCATAAAACTCATCATTGTTTGATAAATTAGTGTTTCTCTTAATCCATTTGAGGACAGAGTGCATCACTGTAAGTTTCATTGACAAGTTTGGTCCATGAAGAAAGATGATGTGGGAGAGGGCTGGAAGGGCAGGGCGGGCTAAGCCACTAGGGCCTAGGATGGCAATCCTAGAAGGTGGAGGTTATTTGGGAAGAGTTAGTAGTATTTATTGTGTACTTACTTTGTACCAGGCTCAGTTCTGCATACTTGTCGTGAATTAATTCAGTAACACTGAATTAAGATGAAGGACAGAGGCACAGAAAGGTTAAATAACTTGTCCAAGGTGATAGTTTACAAATGGAGCCAGTCTGCAAACCCAGGCTCTGAATCATCGCACTGTTGCACCTTGGTAGTTTGAACATTTTTGGGGAAGAAAAAAAGATTTGTTTTAAGAAGATTGTGTTAAAATATTTTGGCTTCATAATTGTGTTTGAAGAGTAAGAAAGGTCTGAAAAGAGTATGTAAAAACATTAGCTAGAAGCTAAATCATATGGCAAGGAATAGGAGTAAGAGCAAGGGGACGATATAAACAAATCCTTACATATTGTCTAATATAATCTTAGTTATAAACACCCTTCTTGCTGGTCCAAATGCTGTCACTAGAATTATTTTTCCCAACTTCATTGGGTTCCTTTAAGATGGCAAGATAAAGTAGATAGCATTGTTCATATTTTTTTGGAAGAAGAATTAAGTACCAGAACATTAAATGGCCTTCCTTCAAGCACTCAGAGGCAGTGATGGGGCATGCTCCTAGTATCAGACCCTGAGTTCTTAGTGGAGATCTGGAGTGGGGAAGGAGAATGAGAGGCTGCTCAATGTTTTCTCCTTGCTCTCAGTTTTCTTCTTGGGTTTGGAGAAATACTCTTGTGAGCAATGCTGTATTACAGAGATTGACATTAACAGGAAAAAAAAAAAAAAAACAAAAACCAACAGGTCTATAGAGGTTACCCAGGGCCCTCAGGCCCATCAGGTCCCATGATGTGCACCCTGCTTGATGGCTGTTAGCCTTTGGAAGGGTGCTTAGGGCCTCTTCCCTTTTCTGCAGCCCAGTGCTTCAGGATGGCGGGGAGCCAGATCACTTTGGATTTGGTTATTTCGCTAGTCACTAGTAGGTTCCCTGGGCGGCATGTCTTAACTGGTGTCAGTTCTGTCTCTCAAGATCTGGCACACATGGTTCTTTCTCACTCCCCTCTCGGTCTTGGCCAAGTATCAGTGTGTACGTACACACACACTCCCCCACACACACGTGTGTGCACACCTCCCCCCCGACACACATACCCCTACCTAGTCATATTACTCCTTTCAGGTACATGTTTATGCACTTCAAGGACCTGCTTTCTGGGTTTCTTTGGAGCATAGAGATAGAGCATAGATGATAAAGGAATAAAGAATCCCTAGCATTTGTTAAGGGTTATATTTTATTTTTCTTCCCTTTCTATTGTGTGTTCTAATTGAATCTCAGTGATAGCTGAGAAATGTTTTCTCATTTCTATTGAATTAAGAATGCTTTGTAGAAAGCATAAAACAGCTTTCTGATGTTTTCAGAACATGATTTTAAAATGTTCTGTATTATTATGTAGTATATGTTATATAGTATTATAGCTATAATTACTTTGTTTTTTTTTTATGTTTACCTATATGTTATAGTCCTAATAGGAAGTTCATTTGTGACTTAACACTAATCCATGTATTTAATATTGAATCTCTATTTATTACTATTTATAAAATTTGATACCACCTCTAATTTCATTTAGTTATTTATTAACATCTTTGGATGTTTACCTTATACCAGGGTATGACTACAGTAGGCATGAAAGTGTATAAATCAATATGTATCCTTAAAATGATATACTAACAGAAGACATTTACTTTACTTAACTGGCTACCCAATACACAAAGCCATCATTCTGAAAGGCCACAAAAATGCTGCTTAGCATGTAATCAGATTTGTGCAATCAATATCATTTTCAAGGAATAGGTACATTCCAGTAAATTTTACCTAAGGCAAAATCACTTTCTAATCAATAAATTCTCTCATCATAGAAACAAAGACACATTTCCAGGGAGAATCCCAAGGAATCAAAGTAAGAACCTTTCATGGTAGAAGGGGGTGAAGCTCACCAGTTCCATGGCAGTGTGAGATGTGCTGCTTGTAGACAGAACATGGGAGATGAACAATAGTGGTTTGGGATATAGGAAAATTAGTGTGATGAATAAGGAGTAGATCAAACAATAATATGATTGAACCTCCCCAGTGGCATTCTCTTACTTTTAGAATAACCTCTTTGCTCTTTACCATGGCTCACAAGGATTCTTTTGACCTACCTCTCCAACTTCAACTTTGCCTTCTGCCCCTTACCACTGCCTAGCTATAGTGGCCACCTTCTGTTGATAGAACACAAGCTTGGTTCTACTACCACAGGGCCTTTGCGCTGGCTGCTCCCACTGCCTAGATGACTTCCCTCTAGGTCTTCCAATGGCTGCCTCGTTCTCTTCATTCCCATCCTAGCTCACATGTCACTTCTTCAGCATCCACCCCATCTAACGTTGACACCTTTCTCCATTCCTCTGTTTGTTTCATTTCACTTGTCAACATGGAATGGAATATAGTAGGCTTTCAAGAACAAGAAACATTTATTGGGCGAATGGATCTAATCAATAAAATGATTAATCACATTGCCCTGCTTGGTAGCTTTTTAAAGATAAAAATTATATGATGGGGGGAGGGGGGGGGGATAGCATTAGGAGATATACCTAATGTAAATGACAAGTTAATGGGTGCAGCACACCAACATGGCACATGTGTACATATGTAAGAAACCTGCACGTTGTGCACATGTACCCTGGAACTTAAAGTATAATAATAAAAAAATTATATGACATTTTACCATTATTTTAAAGAAAAGATCATGCAGATCATTCTAGCCTATTCACAAAAAAGGAATCAACCCAAGTCCGTCTAGGATCTTCAAGTAACAACCCAGATCTCATGTCTCATGAATGAAATATCAGGCAGTCATTTTCTTTTCTATAATTATGCCCAAATCATTGGCTGTGACTTTAAGTAAGAGATTGAAGAAAAGCCTCTGTTAGACTGATGAAATCCAAAGTTATTGTGTCATAAAAACTTATTTTAATTAGATTTATTTTTTCCACTTAGTCTGTAAATACTTCTATTGATAATTATGTCTAGGTGTATAACTTTTTGGTAGAAGTTCAACAATGTATATGCCAGTATGTTTTCATGTCTTTCCTCAAAAAGTTCTATTTATTGAAAAATTTACTTGCTTTTCTTTTGAGAAAATTTTTAGTGAACTTTCTGTTATGAATAAATTAATCAATGTTGTTGACCCTAATAGAACGTGTTATTTGTAAACTGTTTGGCAGTGTATTCTGACAGCCTTTCTTCTTTGCAGGAATATATTGCTAAGAATTTCTGTGTCATGCAGTCCCAGATTGGCTATGATATTTTGGCAGAAGATACTATCACAGCTTTGTTGCACAACAACAGAAAACTACTAGAGAAACATATCACAGCAAAAGAAATAGAAACATTTGTCAGTTTACTCAGGAGAAATCGGGAGCCAAGGTTTGAAATGATTCATGTGGTATTCTTTTCTAGTGGAGACTGTGGCTTTGTGTTTTATTTTTAGAACTTTTAAAAGTTAGAATTCTTTCATATCACTAACTTTTATGGACAAACTATGTTGGGCTTATTGCTATAATAATTGTACATAATAAAGAGTTACTACCTCGTAAGAGATCAAAGCCCTTTATAGACATACTTAAGTATGATTGATTTTCACTCTGAATCCTCATGATTTTATAGACCTTTATGGTTTCTCAAAATACATTCATATTATTTAGATCCTTGCACATTTGTGTGAGATACACTGGTTGTATATTATTACCCCCATTTTAGAGATGAGAAACTAGAAGCCTAGCGAGCAACTTGCCCAGGCGTACCCTAATAGGAATAGAACGCAAGGTAAATCAAGGGTTTCTGATTCCACATCAAGTTCTTTTTCTGTTGTACCATGCTGCCTTATCTTGAAGAAATGAGTGCAGAAAAGTCAAGCCAATTGGCAGTGTTTCCTTAGCTAATTAGTACAGCAAATAAATGCTAGAAGGTAGAAATGGGCCTCTGACTTGACCAGGTCATAGTAATTTTCATTAGGCGTGTGCTCTATTTCTATTTTATTCAGTACAGCATTAGCTTTGATCTGCTTTTGGTTTGATATTCAGCTCTGGGGAGACTCACTTTAGGGGAGATGAATGATTTTCTAAATATAAGTCACGGTACTGTGGGAGGAATATCATAAAATAAATAGAAGCAAACACATCAGTTTTGAAACAAGACTTGTATTAAATAAAAAAAAATTATATGTTTAATTTGTTTCTAATGATGCAGTAAACAACACATTAGACAAATGTTGCGTGGAAATAATATTAAAACATATAATGTTTATTTTATTGTATTCCAAATTTTATCTTTATTCTGATGCTTTTATAAAATGCTTCGTCTTCATATTCCATTTAATTTTTTTCTCTTGCCAGGTTTTTGGATTATTTGTCAGATCTGTGTGTGTCTAATACCACTGCTATTCCTGTAACTCAAGAACTCATCTGTAAATTTATGTTGAGTCCAGGCAATGCAGACATTCTCATTCAAACTAAGTAAGCCCAGATAATGGATGCATCATTTTCCTGTTGATTATTTGTAAGCATTGTAGTTCTTTGTCATATTTACAAGTGTACTTTTTAGTAGATTTTTGTATGTGCTATTTATTTGAAGGGTGGTCTCAATGCAAGCAGACAACCCCATGGAGAGCTCCATCCTTTCAGATGACATTGACGATGAAGAAGTTTGGCTCTATTGGATTGACAGCAACAGGGAACCTCATGGCAAAGCTATCAGGCACCTTGCTCAAGAGGCAAAAGAAGGCACCAAAGCTGACTTAGAAGTTCTTACCTATTACAGGTTAAGTATTGTAGACAATCTTACAATAATTCTCAATCTCACGTATTAATTGAGACCTGGTTCTTTGTAGTCACTAGAAGTTAGGTATCTATGAAGAGGCAATTTTAAAAGTCATGTCAGAACTAGGGTAGCTGAAATATTTAGTATTATTTAAGGTATTCAAAATACAAGTTAACATGTCTATTTTCTGCATACACCACTTGTAATTTCCTGGTTTTTCACCAGCTTGGAATTGTTGTGCAGCCAAAGGCTTTGTCCTCGTATTGAGTAGAGTGGAGGCAGATGAGAGACATGTTAGGACCTAGGTGATGGAGTCGAGAGGGATATAGACATGGGGCTAAGGAAATTGATCTGGCCACAAGGGTAGCCAGTAGTTTAGTATAGAGTGGGTTATGAATATGTGGTGACCTAGGGCCTAAGAGAAACTGGTGCCTGTAGTTATGAAAGTTCAGCACTGGAATATGGCAGCAGAAGTACTGAAGGCAGTTCCTGGTGGTCAGCATATTGGGAGCAAGAACCTAGCTGGCGTCTTTGAGTTGCAGGGATAGAAACCCAAGGCAGAAGGCTTGGGGCCAACTTGGGCCCAAATGGCAAGAATCAGACAAAGACAGATGACGCGTTGTGTTCCCTGGTTTCTACAACTATAGCAACCAAATCAAAGGCTAATTCTTAATCTCAAAACTGGGCTGATAAGCCAAGTGCACTCATGCCATTTGGACTGATCTTTTTTGGTTTGGGAACTGAATGGGGCGAAACCTGGAGTGTAGACACTAGACCCTGAAGCTGAGTGAGGCTGAGGAAGGTGGAGAGAGATGGTTTCATGTGAGCTGTTGCCCATAGCCTTCAGCCTGAGTGCAGTGTTTATAATCCTAGGAAACCCAGACTGGAGTGCCTAGTGACACTCTCCAGCAGGCACATTTTGCTGAAACAAGTAAGAGGTATTGTAACTGAAGGGACAGAGAGACAGTTTCATATATGTCTTGTCATTTGATCTTAATGGTTAACATACTACAATCAAGAGTTTGACTCCAATATCATGAATGCTTGGAAATACAGATGTCTTAAACATAGATACTGATTGGTACTGTGATGTTTAAAGATTTCTTCGAGATAAGACAATAATGTAATATGTTTATCATTTTTAAGGTACCAGCTAAACCTCTTTGCAAGGATGTGCTTGGATCGCCAGTATCTGGCCATAAACCAGATTTCTACACAGCTCTCTGTAGACCTGATCCTGCGGTGTGTGTCGGATGAGAGCCTGCCGTTCGACCTCCGAGCGTCCTTCTGTCGCCTCATGCTCCACATGCACGTTGACCGGGATCCCCAGGAGTCTGTGGTGCCTGTTCGCTATGCCAGGCTCTGGACAGAAATCCCCACAAAGATCACAATTCATGAGTATGTTTGGAAAAAGGTCTTGAGGCTTTGGAGTCCAGCAGATGAACTCCACATCAAATGGCTACAGTTTTGAAATGTAACATGTGCAAAGGCATTTGTGTGTCCTGTCGCGGGTTGTTAATCTAAATGCAAATAAGATACTCGTTTTTGAGGGTGAAATAACTCTCAGTGGGAATAAAGGCATTTTCTAGAAAACAATAAGCAAATAATGTTGCTCTAATTGGCAAGAATTTTAAGTACTTCATATTGTGATAGACTGCTACAACTGCTTTACACATCGCTCATTTCACAACAGCCCCGTTTTACAGATGAGGACCCAGGCCCTAGGAAGGCTAACTAATTTATCCAGGATTATGTAGCCAGGAAACTAAAGTACATATGTTTTATTATTTTTAAATGATTGCAATCAGTTTAACTTGCATTATCTTCTTTCTGTATTTCCAGATATGATTCTATAACAGACTCTTCCCGAAATGATATGAAGAGGAAATTTGCCCTGACAATGGAATTTGTTGAAGAATATTTGAAAGAAGTCGTAAACCAGCCCTTTCCTTTTGGGGATAAAGAAAAAAATAAACTGACATTTGAGGTACTTTTTCCCTTCAATATTTAGGATGTTTTGGTAACTGGGTAGTTTAGTTCATGAAGATATTATTTTCTCTGCCATTTTTAAAAGATAGATTTGGTGCTTTAATGTCCAGTAGAAAACATTTTATTTATAATTGTCTATTAATTACTGTTTCCCTTGATTTTTTTTGTTTCATTTGTGTAAGATTTTTTGCATGTAATAAGCACAGGCAGTTTTGCATATTTTGTGGAATGTTTGGATACTTTTTTTTGTCTCTAAGGAGATGATGTTTTTATTCTCATTGAACTGAATTGAAATATCTTCAGTTTGGGAATGTAGTGACAAAACTAGAGAAAGGATGCTATTACTTGATACCTGGTGTATTAGCTACCTACTGGTGTATAACAAATTACTCCAAAACTTTGCAGCCTGAAGCAACAAACATTATCATAGCTTCTATGGGTCAGGAAGCCAGGAGTAGCTTAGCTGGGTGGTTCTGGCTCAGGGTCTGTGATGGGGTAGCCAGCAAGCTGTTGACTGGGATTGCAGCCATCTGGGGCTGGACAGTCTGTTTCTAAGGTCACTGGAGGGGTTGTTGGTGGCCACACCTCCTTGCTGGCTGTTGGCACCTCAGCTTCCTGCCATGTGGGCCTTTCTGTAGGCTGCGTGGGTGTCCTCATGACATGGCACCTGGCTTCCTCAGAGCAAGCCATCTGAGAGAGAGAGAGAGAGTCCAAGATGGAAGTTGCAGTCTTCTGTAATCTAATCTTGAAAGTGACATGTCATCACTTCTGTTGGTCACTTGGACCAACTCTGATACAGTGTGGTAGGGGGAGACTGTGCACTGGGGGCCACATGTTGGAGGTAGACTCTCGTACTTGGAATGTCCTCTGCAATCCACAAGACCACAAAGCAGCATAGGGAACATAGATTTCTGGGCAAATTTCTTGGATAATAGCCATTTATTAAAGTAATTAATTGGTGCAATCATTTATTAAGTGGCATCCTGCTGACTTAAATTACTTAAATGTTTAATTAGGATGTAAATAATTCTAGTGTAAATTTTGTTAAGTACCTTAAAGCACTCTGAATCTTACTTGGATTTAGTTCTAGACTTGAATAAATCAAAGTTCAAGTGGTTGCTTTTGCAAGTATTTTAATTCCTAGGTGTTAAAGAATTAGGAAGTTTAGAAATAGCTGTGCTAATTTAGATAATAAAAAGCCAATGTTTATTGCAATTCCCAATTTTTTTTTCCACTCTTTCACCCTCCCCCTCCCTGCTTTTTTTTTTTATTAAGGTGGTCCACTTGGCTCGGAATCTTATATACTTTGGATTTTATAGTTTCAGTGAGTTATTAAGGCTAACAAGAACACTTCTGGCTATTTTAGACATTGTACAGGCCCCCATGTCATCATACTTTGAAAGATTAAGCAAATTTCAAGATGGAGGTAAGAATTTTGAGAAATGTGATAATATCATTGTTATTACTTGAAAGTAAGATAAAAAATAAAACTACAGAGAAGGTGTTGCTATTATGTACCTGCTAATATATGTGTGCATATGAACACAATTCCTATGACAGGGCTGAGTGATAATAAGGTGGATTTACAAACATACATCTCTGTTTATAATGCTAAAGCTTTGAAAGATGAATTCATAAGGTCAGATTTCATCTTTAGCAACTAACATTAGAGCCAAACCACTTGTGAAAATATTATGTGTTAAAAAATGAAAACATCTTGATATTTGTGGTCATGTGGTTCAAGCAATTCTCCTGCCTCAGCCTCCTTTATTTTTACAAATACGGATTAAATTATAAGGTGTCAAAGAGAGAATAGATTTGAAGGCTATGCTCTACAGCAGAGCTTAGACAGATGCAAGGAAGACCAGGCACGGTGGCCCACCCCTGTAATCCCAGCGCTTTGTGAGGCCAAGGTGGGCAGATCATGAGCTCAGGAGATCGAGACCATCCTGGCCAACATGATGAAAATCCGTCTCTACTAAAAATGCAAAAATTAGCTGGGCATGGTGGTGCGTGCCTGTAATCCCAGCTCCTCAGGAGGCTGAGGTAGGAGAATTGTTTGAACCAGGGAGTCAGACGTTGCAGTGCCAAGATCGTACCACTGCGCTCCAGCCTGACGACAGAATGAGACTCCATCTCAAAAAAAAAAAAAAAAAAAAAAAAAAAAAAAAAAAAAAAAAAAAGAAAGATTCAAGGAAAGGGGTGGCGAAGTATCATGCCAGAGAAGGAGCGAATGCCACGCCAGTGTGGGAACCTCTGGAGTGAAGTGGATAAGAGAATGGGCTTTCAAGTTAGAGTGCCTGTATTCAAATCCTGCCTTGACCATTTATAAGGTACTTATCTTCTCTATGATTTTTCTTTTCTCATCTGAGATACGAAGATGATAATAACAATATCCTTCTCACAGTTTCCTTGCAAAAATTAAGGGAATGTATTTAATATATTCAATGGGCTTTCAACAGTGACTGTCTCATAAGTCAGTACAAAGTTTTTATGACGATTGTCTTGGGTTGGATACCCTAAAAACACCCTGAGATTGAGGCTTGTTTGCAGAAGGTATATGGAGGAGTGCACTTGGATATATACCTGTTAGGAAGTGAGGAAGGTAGGACTGGGCAGGCAGAGAAGCTCATCTGCAATGCAGTTATGACTGAGACCTCAGGTCATCCTGGAGCTGGGATGCTCTTTGGAATTGACACAAATTAAGGCAAAGGGGGCCACACTTGGTGTCTTTGCATCAGCCAGCTATTACTACTTGGCTTCGTCCTGGAGGGGGCTGTGTAAGATTGGGTAAGAGTCCGTCCTAGCGAGAGGTACAGCTGTAAATAGCAACAAGGATGTCTGCCCAGCAGCTGGGGCAGTAAGAGCCTCAGCCCTGAAAAGGGACACAGGTGGAGCACAGTAGTATCCACTACAACATCCACTACAGGATTAAAAGGGCAAAAACCAGAAACCTAATTTCAGACATAAAGAAGAAATATCTAGTTAAGAATTATAAATGAGCAACTTACAGTAACCTAAAGTAATTAATTGCTGCTGCTCAAATCTCAATTCCTTTTTTAGCTTTCAAAAAACAGTACAAATCATTAAGAAGCCAACTGAACCACATAAATCCCTCACCTTCAGCATAACTAGAAGCGAAGGGACAATGCAAATGCTAGTTACTGTAAGCAGAAAAATAAACATTCATTTTCAGTACAGCTGCCTGGTGAGCTCCCATTGCAAGCTTTGAGGATGGTGAGCGGTTTTCGGAGAAACTGGGGAAGAGAAAAGGGATCATATGCAAAGGGAATGAAATGAAATTGTATGAAAATCACCCTCAGAAAGAGAAAGTCTATCTAGGTGTGAAAACATGGAAAAAGTATCCAGGTAGATAAGAGCACCAACTAAACAGGAAGGGACTTGAAATAGCACAGGGAGCAGTTGTGGAAAAGCAGTGCTTCTAGGGATGAACAAGTTTGCAGGTAAGGCAAGGGCACCCCTTCGAGTCTTTTGGTGAAGGAAAAAGAGGCAAGATAGGGAGATCTAGAATACCACAAGACAAAAGAAACCGGAAACATCGATGGGCATATCACTCCACCGACCTCCACCAAAAGCCAAATTTTAAAGAAACTGCACTTCATGACTCTGACAGGAGGGGGCGCCCTTGAACCAGAGATCCTGTAAACCCGCTCATTGTTAATCCTGTCTGCTGAATGTGTCAATGTCATCGGTCTCACTATGTGAAACCGCTGTTTAAGACCAAAACAGAATGGAAAAATCTAAACACCTCAGTGGATGGAAATTCCTCCCTGAAAAGCAACTGTGAAGCAGAAGAATATTGTAACATGATACTCTAAATGGAATTAAGTAGCTTCAAGCACAGTGAACTATGGAAAACACTTTGATTCATAAATTCAAAAACTAAGATAGGAAATGGACCAAAATCCAAGAAGAAATGAAATGAAAATTGATTGAACTTAGGAAAGAAATAGAATAAAATGGTTGACTTTATTTATTTGTTTATTTTTACCAACACAGATTAAATTATAAGGTGTCAAAGAGAGAATAGATTTGAAGGAAAATCAAATAGGTGACATTGAAGAAAGGCAGGAGAACAATGAAGAGAATGACAATGATCCAAAGAAACAAGTGATGAGGGTGAGAGGGAAAGAGGCTGAAATGGAAGAAAGGCAAAGAAGAGCCACCATAGGAATAACTGGAGTCCCTGAAGAAGAAAAACAAGAAAATGGAACAGAGTTGAGTATTTAAAATTGCAATCCAAGAGAACTTTTTGGAAATAAAAGACAACCTGAATCTACATGGTATAATTATCCAGAATGGTAATCTCTAAGAGCATAATAAAATTATTATATGTAGTATACATTCAGAGAGAGAATAATAAGAGTTTGAGGGAGGAACCATGAGAGCAAATGGGGAAAAAAGGAAAGCGTATATGAATATTTTTTACTATTATTGCATCTTTAAAGTAAATTGAATGTTTTATAAAAATAAATCTATGAACAACATATGAATGAGAGCAAAGCAAAGACCAAGAACCGTAGTTGTTAATCAAAGAGCAGGGACATGCAGGGGTCTATATTAATTCTGCTGCCTGAATCTCACTAGTGAGACTCCTTTTACCACTCCCAGAGGGACATAACACTTGAAATGTCTGTATTAAAGCTTCTTGTTATGCTTTTACAGTCTTCAGTCTAAACTAAATTATTCTTAGAAAGCTAGAAGTTGATCCTGACTTTTGATCTCAGTGCTTACAGTCTGCCTTCAGTGTTTCACCATGAAGAGTATTTTATTAAAGGCTTATTTTTTTAGAGCAGTTTTAGGTTCATGGCAAAATTAAGAGGAAGATACAGAGATTTTTTTATTTATCACCTGCCCCCCAACATGCATAGCCTCCCCATATCAACATCCTCCACCAGAGGGGTACATTTGTTACAATTGATAAACCAACAGTGACGTCATTATGTCAAGTTCGTCCTTGACATTGGGGTTCACTGTTGGTGTTGCACATTCTATGTATTTGGACAAATATATAATGACACGTATCTAACTTTATAGTATCATACAGCATCTTTTCACTGCCCTAAAAATTCTCTGTGCTCCGCATATTCAACCCTTCTCCCACCTCCTCACCACCCCCTGGCAACTGCTGATTTTTTTCTCTCTCCGTAGTTTTGCCTAAGGAAAGTATTTTTTTTCTTGGAAAAGTTGTTACCTTGTTTGCACTCTCCACCGTCCTGTTTATATCTGCCCTCAAAGACACATAAATTTAATTTTTATAATTCTCATATTTTTAGTGAATTCCATTGACTTCTAGATACCTTGATTATTTCTTTCAGCAATCTGATAATAATTTATTATTTTATTTAACAAGAATCTATTGAAGAATTACAATATGCCAGACACACTTCTAGTCACTGGTAATAAGTAATGAACAAGATAACCAAAGTTGTTAGTCACAGGGAAGACAATTAATAAATAAATAGGCAAAATTTCTCCTTTCTCCTATTGAGAGAAACAGCCAGATTATCTATCTATCTATCTATCTATCTATCTATCTATCTATCTATCTATCTTTCTATCTATCTTGTAACATCTGATAATGCTGTGAAGAAAAATAAAGTAGGTGAATGATATGGAGACTGATGGAGTGAGGGAGGGTAGAATTTTCTTTTAAGTTTGATGGGCAATCTCTGGAGGGATTTGAGAAGGGACTGATGTGATCTGATCATGTTGGCTGCTGAATGGAGCATAGAGAATATCTATGTGGGCAAAAATGTCGAAGGCTGAGAAACTGTTTCAGATTAAAGGAGATTAAAGAGACATGACAACTAAAATTCAATATGCAATTCAGCACTGGATCCTGAATTAGGAGAAATATTATCTATAGAAGATATTATTGGCACAAGTGATAAAATTTGAAAATGAATTATAGGAATATGGATTGCAGGTTATATTTGAATATTGATTATGTCAGTTAGATTTCCTGACTTTTGTAATTGCACTGTGCTTAGCTAAGCTAATATACTTGTTTTTAGCGAATACATGCTGAAGAATTGAAAGTTGAAAGGTCATGATGTCTAGAACTAACTTTCAAATAGAGCAGGAAAGATGTGTGTGTGCGTGCGGGTGCGTGTGTGTGTGTGTGTATGTGTGTGGGTGTGTGGAGACAGAGAGATGCAAATGTGGCAGCATTTGTGAATCTAATCAATCTGGGCAGAGTCTATGTGGGAGTTCTTTGTACTATTCTTGCAACTCTTCCTATAAATTTGAAAGTTTTCTAAAACAAAAAAGTTAAGAACTTAAGTAATTAACTTGGTAGGAAAAGGATTTATGTTATGCAAGGTGACAATTCAAACCTCAAGAATGATCTTACAACTCTACTAGGAGATGTGTTATTAATATTATAGCTAGGTTCTCTATTAG